GCGAGCGATGCGCCGCCGACCGGCAGACGAGAGTCGACCTTTCATATTTTCTTCCTCTTCTCCGCGTTCGCGTCCGATCCGACGGTGCCTGCGATTTTTAATTCCAAATTCCTACTCTTCGTCCAGATAGAGAAGGCCAGCCTTTCGCTGGGAAATCGAGCGATCGAGATGACGTCAAGTGTACTTCACTTTTCTCTTCCGAAAGCAACCACCGATCTATTTCCTGGATCGACATGTTACGTCATGCTTTGAGTGAGGAGGTTAGCTAGAGCGCGACGTGGGGGGAAGGGAAGAGGGGGGGGGGGGGAAGGACTACAATCAGGCCAAGTTGTACTAATTGAGCGCACTCTCCGCCTCTGGCATATCCGGGGCATCTCAGGTCCCATGGGCACAGGCTCGAAGAATCGCCGAGGAAAAAAAGAAAGAAAGTACTTTGGGTCACTGGGGTACTTTGGCGCTCGCGATGCAATCTATTAGTGCCGAAGAGGTCTTCAGAATTTTGCAAAAGTAGGCAAGGCAGCGTATGTCCAACGTCAGTTCGGAAACTCCGATATCGCATCGCCCATCGCTGGGAAACGTCGGATTATACTTCACAGCTTGAGTTTGAACCGATTTCGCGGTCAGATGGAGCCGAGATAGCGTGCCGATCCTAATTTTTTATCGATACGACGAACGAAGTACCACGATTGGATGATTATTAAATACAGCTGGGGCCGAGTCTCGCAGTCCCAAGAGGCCACTGACATCTAGTGGGAGTAGGCGGTACGACTCCTGCGAGAGACACACGATAGGTGGCGTCCGTGCCCGGACCCAAGTTTCCCCGCGTTTTTACGTTACGCCTGGGTCCCATTCAAGTGACTTTCCACAATAATCTGCCATGATGCGACGGATGGATGCCCTCGAGGATTTCATTCTTTGCTCTCTTGCGAGCGAAAAAAGTAGAAGAGTTTATACGAATGGAGAACTTCGTCCGTCGAGGGATATTCCAAGAAGCATCCCATCCTAGCAAAAAATTTTTTGCGAAGGCAGGCAGAATGTGGCGGAAACGTGAAAGCTGTCTCTCGATGACGTCTCTGCGACTTCTGTCAGAAATGCACAGAAACGCCTCGAGCGTCGCGACGAGATGGGATTAAGGACAAAGGATCGCGGCTTGTTCCCTGCGACCTTTCCTCCTCGGCATCCCGCATCGCGGTTCCGCGATCGGCCTTCGAGAAGCGGAACACCTGCTCCTCGGTGCTGCAGCTGGGATCTCACTGGGATCCCACTGCCTCGCATTCCCTACAATTTTCCGCAAGAGCTTAGCCAGCTGAAAAACAAAGGATAATGTAATTATAACTTTGGAGTAATTTCACCCTTGCATGCACCTAGCGCTCCTTTATACCTCGGCATCTCCACGAATCACGAATTAGCGTTTTCAGGCTTCATTCACTACATTTCCATTCCTAGTTTATAGGGGATCAATGAAGAAAAAGGATGGTGGCTCTGGTATAAAGAAGCGAGTCAAAATGACTTTATGTTTTTGGGGGAATCTTTCAGAGAATAAATGACATTGCTCTGGTGAAATAAGTGGGGCTTGAATGCATATTAGAAGTGTGAGAGGGAAGGGAGAGAATGAGTTCCGCGATGACTCCTTACTTGTGGAATCCCCCTTCCTTTCCTCCCCCTCCCCCTCCCCCTCCGACTCCCCCTCCCCCTCCAGGCATGTCTGCGTCAAATGAGACACCGTTTCCCCTCTCTCCAAATCAGGTTGTCAGACGTTTTTTCTTTTCTCGGTTTGTTGGGGAAAAAAAACGGTGTCGCAATTGTCGCCCAATCCAATTTTCCCAGTTTTAGTTTTGATTTTAATCATCCAGAAGCATACGTAGTTGTTACACTCGCTAGTGTCAATAATCATAGCAATAATCATTACGCCCATAGACGAAGAACGCAGGAGAGCATGAAGGATAGGGAGCCGGACTGCGGGTCCGCGAGGGTCATCGATCCGAGGATCGTTCATGTTCGCGAGTCCCGATCCAACGTCGTTCGACCGGCCGAAGCGAGAACGCGAAACGCAGCGGTTCGGTCCGCGATCGAGTAACACCGCGTCTTGGCAAGTTATAGTCCGAGAGAGACGGTCGTTCCTTCGAATCGGAAGAGAAGATGTGGCGCTGCGGTCGCGAAGATCCCCGGCGACCTTCCGAGCGCCACGTTCATGCTGTTGGACGGGATGAGAGCAAGTTCGTGTCTCGTCCATGCGGGGTTAGAAGCGAGGAATGGATTCTCCTCAGCTTTCTATCGATAGCCTCACCCCGTCGGATAAAAACCTCGTCCTCTTTAATTCAAGAATGGATGCATTTTCGTACACTTTCGGGTGCGAATTTACATTCAAGTTACTCGCTCGATGAACTACAATCGCTCTTCTGCTTAATGCATTCGGACGTACTTCTTTTAATCGAAGACGAGTCGAAGTACAGGGCAGTCGAAAAGTGGCCCGTAAACAGCCAAGCCATTAGACGGGGTGAAAACCACCCAATTGAAAAGGGTGCCGTCCCTATTTCGGCCGTGTGCCGCCAACAAACACGAGTGGAAGATCTGATGAAGAAAACGAATCTCCCCGAGAGAGCAGGTCTGGCGATACGGGACGGACGTTAAAAAAGGAAAAAGGAGAGAGACTATCTGTATGGAATCCCATCCCCAACCTCGACGGGGACCATTGGACTTCGCTCACGGCTCCCGGCTCTGCGGAAAGTCAGTCAGCACGTAACATTTTCTGTCCTGCCATGAGAACACCAACTTATCGTAGAAGTGGGGAATTCTGGAAGAGAGAAACCCTACAACCTCTTAGTGCTTTAACGATGCAATGACGTCTTGAAATTTTACCAAATTCTTGTGTTGTGGCGCTATAAAGTGCTTCATTCACTCATATTTAACACTTATCCGGGCAAGGTATTTTTGTGGCACAAACGGGCAAGTCAAAATATTTTTAGAATTTTTCCCATAAAAGCAAATCCAAACTTTAAAAATTAGTTTTTGAATTCATGGATGACTGTCTATGAAATCCATATCAAATTTTAAGAATATTTTGAAAAAATTGCGGAGAGTAAGGAAATGAAATATCCCCTGGGGTGGCCCAATGGACCCCCCTTGCCCGGATAAGGGTTAAAAATCCACACCCTGCGTTGAAGATGATAGAAAAGAGAGCGGCACACGTAGGGAGAGTGAGAGGGGGCACAGAGGGGGGTTAGAGAGGTTATTGCTCGCCTTACGATCTCAATAAAAGGTCCAAGTTTTTTATAAATAATATCTCCTTTTGATACCGAGTGAGTCCCGATGCTCTTTTATTTTCTAATGACATCTCAGAGGAATGAGGAAAGCTACCACGGAGATGAAGAATCCCACTCCACTCCAAACGTAAAAAAAAAACATCTGAAAGCTGAAAATCGCAGCGAAAAAGCAATTGACTTCTCGCCAGATGCTTCGCTTTGCCGCCTTCAACTTGGCAGAACGCTGACGGCAGGCGGTCTCGTAGATGAAGATTGCTCTGTCATGAATTCCTCTTTTCATGAGTGATTCTGATCGCTTTCCATTTTCAAAAATACAGTTTTTGTGCAAAAGTTTTCTCCTCCCAACAATGTGGGAACCAAATTTTTTTTCCACGTCGTTTTACAGGCGAATGGAAAGTAATATAAGCCGACAAAAATGTTTTGTAAATCAGTAATTTAAGATTCAATCAGAATCGTAATAGCACAAGATAAGAAGTACGAAAAGTCATTCTCCACTGAGACGGCTCCAGGACAAATGCGACATTTGCAAGGAGCAGCTTGCAGATTGCTTCCGACCTTCGATTTCCACCTTTCATATATAATTGCAGTTGAAGCATTTCGTGAAACTTTCAATCCGTTACTCGTGTCCAGTGCAAATTTAGACGTGTGTACGATACGGAACTTCTTCACAAGGACTCCATTCGAAGATGGTACAGACAATTTGAAGAGAGTGGAAGTGTGGGACCAAAAACATGTCCTGGCAAGCTTAGCATGGAGGAGGAAACTCATTCACCATATATTTTCACGAAGTGAACTCCCTAAATCCAAGTAATTGTAGTCTGTGAAGCAAATCATGTACCGTGGATTCAGGGAGTTGTAACTCAAGTGCAGCTTGCCAGACGGACTTGCGCGAAATTCGTGAAAATCTTGGGCTCCGGCACGGCTCCACGGAGTCCTAGCGATGCGGAAAGTCTTGGTGCGGTTTGGGAACATCGTTGGTACCAACGGAAGCTACTTGTTCTAACTTTACACTTGGCTATACTCTTTACACTTGCTCTAACGACCGATGCGATGCGATGCGACGGTGGCGGCATCATACCTCGTATACCGGTAGTGGTTTACACATGGTCTCGATCGGTCGACACACCATTGCACGTCTTGCCGTTCCGCTTCCACGGTGGCCAAAATATTTGACTTTTAAATGGCTCCATATAATATAAAAAAGAAAATTGAAGCGAGGTAGGAGCCCCGTCGAAAGTCGTGGGCGAATTCTCATTTCCGGTCGTATAAAGGTTTACATGTGAGCTCATGAGGAAAACACCTCGACTCGCTTCTCCGATCAATTTATCATCATGAATGCTGGAAGGACTAGGAAAGGGAACCCGAAAATTTCCACCGACGTTCATATTGTGACGGATGAGGATGGCATCGAGGCTCGACTGACTGGTTCGGTGGTATAGAGGTAGCACACCTGACCGGCAATCAGGAGGCCCGGGTTCAATTCCCGGCCGTTCCTTGGCTTCTTTCGTCCTCTCNCTCGACTGACTGGTTCGGTGGTATAGAGGTAGCACACCTGACCGGCAATCAGGAGGCCCGGGTTCAATTCCCGGCCGTTCCTTGGCTTCTTTCGTCCTCTCATGCCTTCCGTCGTCCGTCTCCCACTTCCCCTCCGTAATAATATCTTCTTTCCCTCTTCTCCACGACGACGGAAGAAGCGAGATTCCCGTCCGCGCGAGGAAGGAAAGAGACTCGACTCACGGGAGGTGAAGGCGATGATGTGTCCCGTCTCCTCTCGCAATCCTTCGTAGATGGTCCTCATCGGGTTAGTGTGACCGAGAAGGGATAGATGTCGGGCCTGGACTTCCAACGCCCTTTCCTCCTCCTCCAGCTTCCTCCAGTGAACTCCATTCACCTAGAAACGTAGAATCGCAACTCCATTATCCCGGGAGGAATCGGAGCACGGCACGTGATCACAGTGATCCGAATGTCACGTGCGTGCGTATTTGCGGTTACGGATGCCTCAGAGAATCATAGGGTTTGAGGTCCGAGACCATGCGGAAAGGTCAGCTACGACTCGTTTCTACGGCCCCTCCGCGGAGTCTCTCCATCAAAAATTTCAGCTAAGAAGGGAGACTGCATTTCTTACTTTTACAACAAAAAAATTGATTCCAAGTAGGCAAAATAGTTGCAGGATTCATTTTTATTTTGCCAGCTTTGTGAGTAGCCAGCTCTCGATTCCTTCTTTCTCGGTTCCATCCCGGTATTAAGGTTCGCATAATGTGAATTTTCGCAACACTTTTCGTCACCTGACCAGTAGGCTCATCGAGCAAGTTTTAAACAACTTCTCGAACGTTACAGCCTGTCGTGAGGAAATTTCTACCAGAAAATTCGCCCCCCACGACCAAGATTAATGAATTTTGAATCTGAAATTACCAGAAAAGAAGAATCGAAGGACTCCCACTTTTATGTTCCTCCAGAAAATAAGTGGCTGGATCGAAGCCATCGAGGAACCTTTGCGGGGGTAACTTGTCGTGACTCTTTAATCGAACAATGTGGACAATAAGTGGCAGAAGCTTGGAAGAAAGTAAATATCTATTTTTATTTTCAGGATTGGGGAATGTGGGGATCATGAACTCTCTGGATGAACCTCGTCGAGCAACGAGAACAAATGACAAATCCTCAACTTCAGAAACGAAGTCAAAGGACAAAGGAGTGCAACATAAAAACGTATGGATAAGGATACAATGTTGTGTGGATATTGACAGTATCCGAGAGGGTGTGCAAATATGGAGTTTATTGCTTTTGCCCATAGGAAAATAAAAATGCGACGCTAAAACGTTTGGAGTGCCCATAGTAAAATCGCGAAATACTCTCTCTTTTCTGAGTAAAACCGCGCACCTTTTTTCTTATCATGAGGAGAGGATAATCCCTCCTTCCCCTTCCGTTTTTAAAGGAAAAAAAATCAAGATGAGATGCTTTTGTTTTTTGAGAGGGAGAGAGAGAGAGATTGTGTGTGTTTGTGTGTGTAAACTCGCGAACACCAATTTTACTGTCCCACTCAATTTTTATTTATTTATTTATTTACAGATTGATGGCTGAATTGCATGTGTTCTCATCCAGTCCATCTTCTATCTCATTATAAAGAGTAGGAAAACTGACAGGGCACACGCACCAAGCTTCTCCCAACGCCATCGCGTCTTTTCGCTCGGCGAACTTCTCTCATCTGTAATACAGCTGTGAGACGAAAGTTTTGGCTTCCCCCGCTTCATCGTGGTGAAAGCCCCGAAGAAACAAGCACCCGAAAGCCCTAAAGCAACATGCACTCCAATTACGTAGGCGTTTTTTCAGGGTCAAAATCTAAGCGGAGGATGAGGAAGGGTGTAGACCACAACCGGTCCCCTTCACCCCCCCCCCCCTTCTTGACTTCATTCATTCGACAGCATGACCTTGACTAGGAAAATTTATGTTCTTATATCGCCTATAGTTTATACCTTCGGTATTCAAAGTGCGACCCAGTTGCATGCTTTTATACGGCCCACTACGATATACGATTAATTGATTTTAATTCCATAACAGACACTCATGAATAATCGCGACAGTTTTTTATTCCAAATTTGGAACCTTTCGCGCAAAACTAGCAAGCTTAGTGATTGTTTAGATCCTAAGATACTTGTGTATTTAGGTGTGCACCTGCTGAACTTTCCTAAAATTTTGAGCATTCTTATACTGCAAGGGAAAATGTCTTACCTCGCAAGTAAATGGTTAAATTAAAGAGGGAAAAAGGAAAACCGATCGAAAACACAATCTGTAACAAAGTATCACCTAGAACCGATGCACTTAATGAGCCCTGACTCCAAACAGTAGCTGTTACGGTGACTACTAAAGACGCGGCAGGAATAGGCAATTTCCGATTGCCGCACGTTGTAAAAATGGGACTTCCTGGGTTAAAGTAGCTTGATCCAGAAGTTGAACCGCCAGATTAATAATGCAGATATTTTGCATCTTTTTCAGTGCGGCCCACTCTAGGTAGACTGACGTTGTTTTTGCGGTCCACTCAAGGTGAACCAAAGTGTTCGTGAGACCCTCACCTCAAAAAGTTTGGGGACCACTTGTCTATACTAGAGTCCGTAGCATGTACGAAATGAATTTTCTTCAGACGAATTACTTGCTGCCAATTTTTCTCGGAGACGTAAATTGCGGCGAAAATTCGAAGATTCGTGGAGGAAATTCTCTCCTTTCTGTAGCCTTCGCCTTCGGACGTCTGAAACGAAGATATTCTGATATTTTGAGGGGAAATGAGCTGCTTGATATTATTTCCTTTCTTTCCACTCTGCCGCCAACCGACAAAGCACGGACGAAAAGCTTTCGAGTGTATTCAAACTTCCGAAAACGAAAGAAAACGCCTCATGATACACAATGGAACATTTAACGGTTGGGCGAATCGAGGCCGCTTCCTTAGTCGGGATCAGCCAAATTTTTTTTGTTGTCAAGAAAGGACTGGATAGCCGACTTCGAGCCGAGCCACGCTCGAACCGATCACTTCTAGCGAAACTCCTTTCTTCGGAAGAGGAACGACGCCCCTGATGCAATCGGCAGATCGTCTGTCAACGAGGCCCATTCCTTAATTTTTTCCTTCGAACTTTCACGAAGTATTTATTGAGTATTTACAAAATTATAAATAAATTTAAACATTTTCTAAAGAAAAAGAATTCGTGATGGAAAAAATAATGAATTTGGAAACTCTGAAACTCGGAGGGATCGTGAGAGGCTCACCTAGACTCCGTCCCATCTCGACCCCATCCCTTTCGGATCCCTTTCGAGCCACTCCTTTGCCTGGACATCTATGAAATCCGCTAATTTAGCGATGAATTGGAATATTTTGCCTGTATTTTGCCATAATGGTTTCGTGAAAGGAGACTTTTCGCGTTTCTAGATTTTACTTCTTTTATGAAGCGTATAAATTAAATGTGAGATTCCATGTCTCGTTTCATGATTAAACTAAAAGCTTCCCAAGCTCGATTTTGTCTCTCATTCTGGACTTGAGCTGAGATGAACGATGGGGGGGGGGGGGGGGAAGAATCCTTAATTAAGTGGAACAAGCCAAAACGAGCATAAAAAGAGATGCAAGGCAATTTCTAGATACTTGAAAATGAGACGGATCGGTGCTCGATGGGCTAGGGCAACCGGTAGGCATGTTATGTTATCTGCAAGGATAACATAACATCGTAAAAGGTAGAAAGATATCAGGAAAGACAATAAGACCGAATTAGACGGAATAGTTCACGTTGGGCCCAAAATATCTTTCTGGGCACCAATTAGTAATGCAATCGATCATCTAACCTTCCTTGTATATTCAAGAGAAAATGAAATGAAAAATTATTAATAGAATCCCGATTGTTCAATGGGTTATTGAAGACATTTTCATGGAGATGGCGACAGGCTTGTGAAGACTAGTGCTCCCTAGTCTCTACTCTTACCCCCATTGCCTTCCGGTCCCCACCCTTGTTTCCCTCCTCCCACTTCTGACTGAATCGTCAACCTGATTTCTCATCTTTGGTTCAGTTGAGATTCACTCTGCATTCAATCGTGCCATCAAAGACTAAAGAGTGAAAATTTCAGCCTTTATGCTGACCGTACACTTCACATTCATGAATATGCTCGAACGTGTAGATTGTGTAATCCATCATACCACGTGCGTGAAACTGTCATACATACTGAATACGAAAAAAACCATCTGCATTGCAATGTTAGCTCGCTGAAGCAAGTAATTTCCTTTATAACGACCCTCCCCCTGCCTCCTCCAACCCCCTCCCCCCTGCCCACCCCTCCTTGCCCCCTTCCTCCCAGCCTGAAAGGGTTTCATGAGACGATGTGGACCAACCTGGGAACGATTTTGTCCAAGAACTCAGGTACCTGCAAGCCATAATAATAGCATGCGTCGTCATTCACCGCTACCTCTACTTGACTTGAAGTGCACGAGAGCCTATCCGCATCTAGACGTTGTCACAGTCATGCTTCCTGGAGACTCATTCGAACTTATATCCATACTCAGCATTGAAATTCGGTAGTATTGCGAGGCGGAAAAATTGTGGAAACGAAAGTTGTAATTTTTTCGGGACGAAGCCTTGTGAAGACCTGAGATCTCTCGTTCTCTTCATCCTGAGCTTTCTTTCCAGGAAATCCTTCACTTCGTCGCCCCACGAATTTTTCGTGCGAAAGAAACACGATTCGAGGAAACAAGGATAAGACGAAGGAAGATGAGACTCTAAACCGGGGGTGAAAAGACGAGATTTTGTGAAAAGCCATCAGATCCCAGGAGACTCCATCGACTTCCATTTCGCACAACATGGCTGTCTGAGTCTCGTCAAAGGCTAAGAGCATTTCTCCTTCTTCGTAGGACAGGAAAAACGAAATTATTCGGATCTTTATTTCCCCCAACCCGAATATTAAGTACCGCTAAATACTGCTACCACCTTTCCATCTTCCACACGCAATTTTCCATCAATGCAACAATGGCTCTTAGGATCAGTGAGGAATCGCCACTTTTCCAAGTTCAAATCGACTATTGTAACTTTTTGAATTCTTAATTGTGAATCTTAAATCAAATTGTTGATGACAGTTAAACGTTTTCACAAATCTTGAATTGAATGGAAGCTTTCGATGAATGTCCTTTCGAATCTCAAATGTATTTTAATAGCGTTTTATCCAACGAAAAAGAAAAGAAAATTGCTTCTTATGAGTCTCAGAACGGTATCGATAATCCAATGTCGCCAAATATTGAACTCAATTATTGAATTTGATTGAGTTCAATATTGGCGACAATATTTGGCGACAAAGTTCCATTATAGAATTTGATGGAAATAGTGACATTTTAAACTGAATTACTGCGCTGCAAATAAAGATATGTAAAAATCTAATACATTAGAATCTTCCATCCGGAGCATAACCGCTAAATCCAAATCTGTAGATCCATCCATGAACTAAACCATTAACAGTCGAATTTTCTGGCCCTGAATCGTGAAACGAGTCGTAAATCTCTTCAGAGTGGTGCGAATCGTTATTTGTATTGGGACATGACCGCATGGAATGCCTTAACCCGACTTCCTGCAAGCGTTGCTTTGTTTTCAACCCCATTACCTCGAAAACGTTAGTTCGCACGTGTTGCATTATTGTAAACAAGAAGCCGTTATTTGTCATTATGGAAGCTCGCAGACCTTGAGATAGAGACAGGGCCATCCGTGAAGGCGGCAGAGATCCCCAACTGTGACGGCCGGTCCCACGTCGAAGCGGCTGCATCCACTGGTCGGAAGATCGAGGGAAACGCGAAACGCACTTCTCGTTCCCTGCGAACTCTCCACGTGGATCCATCCCCCCGTCGTATTATTCCACTTCCACTCTTCCTCCCCCTCTTCATCTTCTTCTTCCTCTTCCTGCTCTTCGTCTACACTCTGCAATGCGGAGTCGAACCGGATGGATCTCTGGGTGCCGAATATCCCAGGAGACACGCGCACCATCTTCCACACTTCCACTAAAACAAATGGAGTATCGATGGAGAGCGGAGGGAAACGAAGACAATAACAATGAGAAGGGGAGGGGAGGGGAGAGAGTGGTTACCTGCCGGATGGTGGCTACCGTCAGAGGGGGGGAGATGACGTCAGTTCCGTCCGTTGAATGCTGATGGGTGTAGGGGCGTGACAGGTGGTGCGTATGCGGGGCTCTCACACACGACCATTACGAACGACGAAAATTAACTCCTCCTGAGGGTCGGGTTGCATTCGGAAATCATTCGAAATCCCCCTCGTGTCTGCTTGATCAATGCCTCCCCCTCTCGGATGAATCACTACGGCTCTCCTGCGATACAGGGTAGAACGGCATCGCCCGAGGCGATTTTTGCTAGTGGTCTCGTGCTCCTCAACCCTTTTGTTTGGGTTCGTGCAACGAGGCCCGTGTGAAAAAGCCCCTGGAGGGGATCGGACGGAGTGAATCGTCTGCTCAATTTTCTAGGAATCACCTGCGGCCTCTCGCCACAAGATCCTTCAAATAAACGACCTTGACTGTTCCGCCTTCCTGATTTAAGCACGCTCGTTCCTGGAATTCATTTTTTGCTAGCCGTGTAAGGAATGACCTAGGGCTAGTTTCGACGTGGAGCCGGATATGCATCGTCTACATACCTATCGATAAGATATTCAGACGAGTGATGGGGGAGGGAAAAGGGATGGTAGCGCGACCAGGTGAGTTCGTTGACCTGACCTTCAGTCCCCAGCTCACTCGGCCTGAGGCACCCAAGTCGCACGAACGGTCGTCCCAAAATAATAGCAAGCAAAATATTCAGCAGTAAGGTGAAAATATATAAGTTTTCCACACAATATCCTCCGACAGCAATGTAAAAATGAGAGCTGGTCAAGCGGACAAAGACAGGAAATAAAAATTGACTCATACCAATCACCAAAAGTTCAGCATGAACTATTGCACTTCATCATTTTCGAGCTTTCGATACTTTGTTCCTAAAGGCACACGTTAACAGTGGGTCTTTGATTCGATTCCGCGCGAGAATTGATTAATTTTAGAAAAATCAGAATACGGGAAGGAAAGAATTTTATCGGAGTCTTGCAGAAGAAATATTCCTAGGTTCGTACACATAAAGTTGGCCCACAAATGGTTCTGGGACGAGTATGAACCTCAACTCCCTCGGATGCTAAAGATGCTTTTGATTTGAGAGAAAATATTGGTCACTATGCTCTCGATCGTGGCTTCTCCTTCGCTTGGTGCTAGATTTTCTCTATATCAATGGAGAGGATTTCGTTAATAATTTTTCAAAATACCGATTGAAAAAAATGAAAGGGTTGGGCTCTTAGGAAGCACGGAAAAGGGGAATGAAAGAAAAGTTGAATGGGAAGGAGTGTAAAAGCAGGCAAAGATCTCCTTCACCTCAGCCTGGAAGCAGGCCTTCGAGGAGGATGTCTTTCAGTGGCTTCTAGTAACAAAATGTGAATAAATTATGCCTGAATAAATTTGCACAAAGATAATAGAGTATACTCCATCTCCCCTGAGCCTGCAGAAATGCTCCAGGCACAGGCAAGGAAGATTTGAACATTTTCAGAAGAAAGGGGAAGCAGAGGTTGGCCTCAGAATTAATTCCTGGAAGCCTTCTTTCATCCCGGATATAAGCCCATAAATGAATCATCCATCATGTATCAGTTTTATTTTTTCAAGGAGTAAAGATTTGCTCAAAAAAGGAAAGGATTCTTCCAGACTGACTAGTTTCTTCCCTGACTGGAATCACGGAAGCTGAACGAATTGACAATGAATGGGTATTTCAATTAGGAGCTAGAGGAATGCTAATTCATTTCTGATCGTTACGGGAATTCAGGTTTTTCACTTCTGCATCGCATGATCTAGAATTTTTCCTGCAATAATAATGGAGCGAAAAGATGTTCGTTTAGACAAGAGGTTTTGGTTGTTTCTCAGTCACAAAAAACGCAAAACCCAGAAATGGTCGAACTTAATGTAATCGGTATACAGACAAAGACCTTCCTGTCAGCATGCAGTCTCATGGAAAAACTTCAAAAATGTGAAAAATTCTGATGAAAAAAGTTGATGGAGGACCTTCAGAGGTCAGCATAATTTCTCCGTGCATTTCATAGTCGCAGTAACTCCATTTATTATCACGGAACGAAGAGACGCACAACACCTCAAATAAATTATTTTCAGGAATAAATAAAATAAATAAATGATAGGTGGTAACTGGTGGGATCACAATGCAATCGCTTAATCCGAGGCCCTAGTGAAGTATCCTGGTGAGGGAGAAGGGGCATCGTGGGAAGGCAGATGAGCAATCCCCTCCGGTCAGCCGTCCACGTTCTTCCGCTTCCACGTAATCTCGGTAGCCGTAGCCTTCTACTTCGTTGTATCCGGAGTCCAGGTTATATGACGCTCTAAAAGGTCACGTCTTCCTTGGTGCGTGCTTTTCTACTCGTCGAAGGGGTCGAAAGAAGAAATCGTCATACCTGAGGATGAGGGAGAGGATTTCGCCGAGGAGTCCGTCGTGCAAGAGGGGTAAATCTCCGATTTCACAGATTGCTTTCAGCACACAGGATTTCCCGTCGAATCCCAACCTTCCGGACGAAATCGAAAGAAAACCAAAATGACGGTTTGCAATTCTTCAACCGACGAAACGAGAGCTTTTTTGTTTCACGCTTCGATACCCATACCATAGGACAACGAGAGTGACCGTGACAGACTGAAATGAAATCTCACGCTCAGCCTGTCTGATGGAGGGGATTTTTCCGGAGGCACTCGCGATGCAGCCGATTAGCCAGCCAATTATGCCATTTCACCCTCCTTCACGCGCAGCCTCTGAGTCTTGCTTTAAACTTTTACTGTTGCTTCACTTTTAAATGTTTTTAATTGAGATTCTATCATTTGCCCATTTGCTTCAGAGTTACGTCCTTGAGGAATTTCGCCACATTATTCCCTAGGTTTGCAGAACTTGGAAGAGTTCTACCAAAATAGACTTCATCAGTAGTTTCGGTATAACCGATGAACTGCATCGAAACTCTCATGTCAGTGGTAAAGAAACCCTACCACATTGTCGAAGTTACTCGTAATTTGCTTGAAATATACATTCATCCGCACATCCACCCAGAGGATGAAACTATCCACTTTCACCTTGACGCGGTGCAGAAAGAAAAATGCTTGTACGGATTGGAAAGCTCCCTCATTCGTTTTTGTCTTCAGCCAGCGGGGTGCAGCAACCCGGAACATTTTCATATTCCGCTTATTCTAGAGACTCTCAAAGTTTGCCGTCCCATTAGGAGCTAGGCATATCCGGCGAAAAAATCGATGAGACCAAGGACCTTTCCTAAGTTAGAAACGTTCTCACAGGAGCGTCTCCAGCCCGACAATCACAACCGACCGGTCGGAGCTCTCTCAGTCGTCGCCATCCGCCATGCCTAGGCGTGATAGATGCCTAGGCATGATAGATGCCTAGGTACCTTGGAGACAATTCTCGGCGAATAATCATATCGGTTTTCCATTAATCATAAAGAAAGCCTGACAGTTCAAGTCTCAAGGAAATAGGAGCTTCATTGAAGTCGTCTGCGAGGGTGGCATCCCCCAAGGATGCCTTTCTCAACCGTTAACCAAATTCGTCTTTTCACGACCGACCTAGATTTCAATTCAAATGTGTATTTTTTGTTCCCTTGAACAATACCTTTTTTTGGACTTGGGAGATTTTAACTAGGAGAGAGATGCATTTCGGCATTCTCTTTACTTACTGCTTCGCCCGTTACTCGGTCGTTCTTTTTGCAACCGGAGTTCACACACTCCTCGGTTCGGTAGTGGATTTTGCATTTTTCATTTTAACAAGCCGTGGAATGGTCATGCACATTCCGATTTCGCGATGGCCCTCTCCGGATTCACAGATAACTCCTGACACGAGGCTCTTATTTAATATGGACAATCGAAATCACGAACTTTACTTGGTACTGTATTTCTTTAAAGCCTGGATGAGAAACGCCATTACCAAGGGAGTGACGCAACCTGAGGTTTCTTCTGATCGGTCGGTTGCCATCGTCGGGCTGCGGGCGGGATACGCTTGCGTTTTCACGGCTGAAGGCTTCTCCTGTATCCTCTTTCCTTCCCCTTTTATCCCAAACCCTTTCGCTAGGACTTTCGGTACACGAAAAGATTTTGTGAGTGCTCCATTGTATCTCTGCTTTGGCCCCACTGCTGGTTGCGACTTGGCAGTCGTCCACAATTCTTCCATGGGGAACGTATAACGTATTTCTTTATATGAGGAATGTTCAATAAGTAATGACCGCAACTCAAAAACGTCATTATTTTTAATTACTGAAATTTGAAAACTTCAGGGTTCTTCAACATCATCCCCATCAACATTTCCACCCATTTGGATTCTCCTGAACTACTTCGGAAATGCCATTTTATTGACTTTTTGTAGTATTCCTTGCAGTATCGCCTGTACAGCCTTGCTACAGTGTTCAATTCAAAGAAACTGTCCGCGAGGTCTTCAACATCATCACCATTGTCCGCATGCGAATCACACGGGACATCCTTTTCACCATGATCTATACGTCTGTTACCCATTTGCAATACTTGACTGTCTCCGAGCATCAAATTCGAGAATTCTAACCCAAAGATAACCGAGGCAAGGACGATTTTTTTTGTGGAGCTCACGAAATGCGTCCTCCACCAGGCGGCTAGTTGTTTTTATGGGGATGGGGGGGGGGTTCAACTTGTGCTCAGCCGTGTTGCAGGGACTGGAAGACGGAAATGTAAACCTCCATCTCCTGGCACTCGTCTCCCGAATTTACTTCATTCTAGGTCTCTTCCGAAGCTTTTGCCTTCTTATTAGAAAATGCCTCATGTAGCACATGGTTATTTTAACGTATGAGGAATAGTACCTCTTTTCCATTTCGAACAAAAATGAACTGTCCAGCGACCTACGTTAGATACGTTGACTTATATGAGCTTTGCAATCGGTTCCAGAAATCCAGGGACTGCAGTTTGAGAACCACTGACATACTCCAAGTTTTGGCGGTTAATCAAGCCACCATGCTTACATAATTAT